CCTTTCCTTTCCTTTCCTTTCCTTTCCTTTCCTTTCCTTTCCTTTCCTTTCCTTCCTTCCTTTCTTTCTTTCTTTCTTTTTTAAATTATTTATCAATTAAAAGCACAGACTTTGGAGTCCTACATTCAAGCCCTGGCCTTGTTACTCTCCCACTATGTGCCCCTGCCTGAGTCACTTAGCCAGCCTGAGCCTTGGTTTCCTAGGTAGGGATACTAACCGTCTCCATTCCAAGGGTTGTCAGGAGGGACACACGTAACTGGATCAGAATTCGTGAGCAAGAAACGATCGCTGGGATTGTCGTTATTTCAATTCTAAGTCTGCCTATTAAAAGCATTTCTAGACCGCCCATCAAAAACAACGTGGAGAGATTAAAATACAACACAAAGCAACAATTACCCTGAGACTACCGCCTCTAAATTACAGAGTTGACACAGACAGGATTATTTGTAGCTTTGATTAAAATTCGAATACTTTCTTCACTTTGGTGAAAAAAATAAATAAAATAAAAATTATTAGGGAATGAAATATGACATACAGGACCAAAAATGAAATAGAGAAATGGGAAATGTCAAAACAGTAACACAAGAAGTTTAAAGGAGATCCATCTTCATTCTTCCTGCTCTACTGTGAGCTGGGAGAAGATATCTCTCGAGATGCCCACCCCTCGCCCAGCCCACCCCCCACCAGTCCTACCCGGTCCTCGGCCCACAGGCCGGCCTGGGTGTAGGGCCTCTCCTCCCCGTCGCCGTCAGCCGTGCTGGGCCTCCTCAGCACCTCCTCGCACTGCAGGCCGCAGAGGCTCTCCACGTCCAGGTCAAATGTCTCATCCGAACAGAATATGGCCTCGAGGATGTCGTCATCGGTCGTGAATAAGATTGTGTCTCCAAAGTGCTCCGGGGCTGCACGGGTTACCAGGAAGACAAGAGTCAACTCACCCCAAATCCCAATCATTTGTAGAACAGGAACCTTAACTAATCAACTTTTGTGCTATAAAATCCCAAACCACTAACCGTTCTTGATTTGTGTAAGTGAGACTTGTTATTCTTCACGTTGGCAAATGGAAGTCATGGACCATAAGAACCACATAGATCTAATAAAGGGACCTAATCTAATGAGAATCGCTGTGGTCATGAGAAAAGGCGTGAGTGAGGCACTGTAGCAGATGCTATTGGTGTCCCACATAGATCCCTACGGATCCTTTTGGGGTGAGGGGGCTGGGGCCTTACCTGGAAGGACATGGGAGTTATGTCCCTAAGCTGGGAGCCTGCAGGGTTCCCAGCCCTGTCACCTTGCCTCAGGGCAGGACAAATCCTGTAACTTATGCTCCAGAGTTCCCCTTGGGTCAGGCTGAGGCAGGCTTCCGGAAGCCTGAAACCACAGCCTTGCTCAGCTTCCTCTCTTCCATATCCTGCACCCCTCCCTGCATTATGGGGTCTCCTGAGAGCACGCCCTCAATCAGTCCCTTGCAGAAGAACCCCCTGGTTGGGCTTAGGCCAGTAACTAGCCGAGGAGTTTAAATAAGGCCAGCTCTTGCACACCCACACTGCGAAAGGTGGAGAGGGCCAGGTCTGTGAAAGAAGAGAGACCCATCTGTCACTGGTTAGCCAGTGGGTTGTCTTCCCTCAGAGCCTCAGCGAGTAGCAGGTAGGGGCTTCAAGGACGTTCTTACAGACATACTGTACCTCCTGTCAAGGTTCCCGAGGCCTTGGCGATTTCTCCGTTAAAGATGCACTGCGCATCTAGCAGGATCTCAATGTCCTTCACGCCGCGGAAGGAATGTATCCGTGATTTGTTGTAATTCCAAATCCTGATCAGGGCGACGTGGCAAGGGTGCGTGAAGTCAGCGGAGATGGAGTGAGACCTGCCCGGCGTGAAGGGGGCCAGCCAGACGTGCATGTCGTCCTGGGTCCTGTTCACCCCATCGATGAGGTTGGTGACCACACGGGGGTCCTTCCCATAGGCTGGCAAAATGTTGATGTCGGGGGGGTCTGCTTGGATGTTTGCAATTTGCACCGGCTCGCCCTTGGAACTGAATATTTCTATTCCGTTGAGGCCAACATAGTGCCTGTCCCCCCACGTAGACTTGATGTCGATGACCAGGTGCTGTCCATAAGGCAGGACGGGGATTTTAAAGTTGCTCCCGTCGTCTGTGTCGATGGAGCAGCTGTCCTGCCCTCTCGTGGGCTCCGGCTTCTCCTCCTTCCAGAGGGGCAGCTGCTCGCTGTGCCGGCTGCTCTTCTGCTGTTGCAGGAACTCGTCCAGGATGTCCCCCTGGAACGCCATGTTGGAGATGCGCCCCCGATGGGAGCGGTCAAAGGCACTGAGGGAGTTCCACGACTCGTGCAGTGTGTGCTCCTGCTCGCTGTGGCCCCAGGACCGTGGCAGCATCCTGGACCAGGTGTCTTCTGGAAGAAAGGGCACAGGACGGGTGAAGCCCCATTAGTGGTGCGTGTGGAAGTGGGGACCCTTAGAGATTGTCTCATCCAGCAGCTCTCAGCTGGGTGCGCTCGCCCTCGGGGACGTTCTAGAAAGCCGTGAGGTCGCTGTCTCGATGACTGTTGACCCTCCTGGCACTTGACAGGTGGGGCCAGGGACGCTACTATCCTGGCCTGCAGGAGACAGTCCAGGCACAGAGCATGGTCTCCTGTCTCAGCAACATTCGGGCTGGTAAAGAATTGTTTACGGTTACTCTAGTCTGGAACCCAGTTGTCTTACAAAAAGCAAAGTATTTGTCAACGTATGTGGAATTTTCTAAGAATGCGACGACCATGCAAATCAAGGGAGGACATTTTGGTTGTGTTGGAACCTTTGCCAGAAGCCATTGCCCGCTTCAGAGACTCTCATGACGGGGCAATGCTGCTGCCTGTGGCCTCTGAGTCAGCAGCCCAAGGGTCTGCTCCTAAGGCTGTCACAGCCATGTGACCTGAACGGTGTTTCCAAAGACTGCCTAGTGGCAAGTGGAAGCCTCGTAAAAGAAGGTTAAATGAAAAAAAGCCAGATATGCAATTTAAGACGTGGCCCATCCTGGTGTGGGCGGCATGCACCCATGTGTTAATATGACCTTTATGGGTGGCGAGTAGAAAGGGCTCTTATTTTCGTCTTTGTCACCTTATCTTCTAGGTTCCCTACATGTATTATTTTTATAACCAGAAAAAATTGCTGTCGAAAAACCAAACAACACAGGCACATTACGAGGTAACGAGTTTACTTCTACATGTGGCTCAACTGGCTCCCAGAGCGGAGGCTGTGTCGCTAGCATGGGACGGGCCGGGGCCCAGCCCTCAGAGGAACAACTCTGAAGGCCCTGCCCTCCTCGTAGAATGGAATAGCTCCGGCGTGCTCATCAAGCTGCGGCCTGCCCTCACAGCCACGCCATGGCTAGCTGCCATCTAAGAGTGTCATTCTGGAAAAACAGCAGCTGATGACAATGACATTCTGTTTTTTCTCCTTTCATATCATACTGTGCCCTGCACTCCATTTTCTGCCTGTCTCCTAGGGGGCCCGGCTCCATCAATTATCTCTTTTCTCCAGAATCTTCAATCACTCCTTCCCCCACTGGTACCTGCCCCTCTCTCTGCCCGCAGACATGCATAAATCTCTCCTACCTGAAAGGAAAGGGAAGCCGGCCTGGCCTTGTGGCCCCTCCTTTCACCGCAGCCTCTCTGCATCCTCGGCACCAGCATCCTCCCTCAGCCCCCTGTAACCTGCTTCCTCGTGTCGAGTTATTGTTTTGCCCGCCCAAGCTCCACTACCCCTTCTCCTAGCAACAACACTGATTTTCCCTTGGGGATCCCCCCCACCTTCAGGCCATCCAGATTAGGCAAACATTGACAGCATCTTTCCAAGCTGGGCTTGTGAAAGGGACTAGGGGAGAGAAGGGCTCTCTTTAAACTAGCGCGGCTGAGCTGGTGGGATGCAGGTGTGGAGTTGCCGGTGGCCATTTTGCTACACTGTAGGGGGAGCTGCCTGAGAAGGGAGCCAGCACAGTGAACGTGAGCCAAGAGATGGGGAGAGTCCTGAAGACGTCGTTCGAGCCCCTGGATCCGGCTGTGCCTGAAGTCACATCCCTGTTGGCTTTCTGTCCCTTGCATCCATGAGTTGTCGTTCGAGCCCCTGGATCCGGCTGTGCCTGAAGTAGGCATCCATGAGTCCTACAATTCCCAAGGCCCCCCCACTGAAACAACTTTCTCCAAGTTCACAACGACTCCAAGTACACAATCTTTTCTCAGTCCTCATTCCATGCTTGACGTCCTAGGCAAAGCTCCTCAGCTTGACAGTTCCCCTTTACCGGCTCAGGACACGTTATGCCTTCCCGGTTCTCCACTTCTCCGCTGACAGCTCCCCACTTGTATCATACGCCCCCGCTCCTTCCCACACCCTAAGTCTGGCTGTGGGCCAAGGCCTCTGCTCTACCCCGTCCTCCCCACACTCTGCTCTCACCCGGTTCCTGGCTCCCACAGACACTGCGCAATGTTACATGTCAAGTTTCGGCTTCTCTCCCCCCACTTCCCATCCCCCGGCACCATCTTCCAATTCCAACAACCCCTTGGAAGGTCCAGACACGTCTACTCTCACTTGCGACTCCGTGTGCCTAAAACGTAGTTTGTCATCATCCCTTCTAAAGAGCACTGTCTCTACTATACTGAGAACAAAAAAATCAAAGAAAATCTAACTCCTCCCCATGTGCCCATGGCCCTGAGCTGGCCCAGCCGACTTCTCCGACCTTGCCTCGCACCATCTCCCCCAACCCCCATCGCCCTGCTCCTGCCATGCTGGCCTCTGTTCCACGGGCACACCGGCTCTCTTCTTGCTTCAGAGACTTTGTCCTTGCCGTGCCCTCTGTCGGGAAAGCTCTTTCCTCAGATCCCCGGGAGGCTGGCTCTTCTTGTCACCCTCTTCCTTAAAGAGGCCTGCTCTGCCCTGTTCCTGCTGTGTGCCAGTGCCTGGCTCAGAACCTGCACAAGGAAGTGCTCGGTACATGTTTGCCAGTAAAGGGATGGACAGCTGGCATCACCATTACGCCCCCTGTGTTCAGACCTGGAGGCCGAGGGACTCCCCTCCACCTGCCAGTTTGCCTGCACACCTGTCCTCTCTCCGCCTTCTCATCTGCCATTAAAAAAGACCCCAGGGGTTTCTTCCATCCTTTCCTCCAGGAGTGAGGCTTAACATCTGACAGAAGGAACTTCCCATATGGATCGTCACGACTCCTGTTTATTATGATTTGATATCCACAGACTGAAATGAATGGCCTGGATCAGTTTGCAAATACACCGAGGAGACAGCACCAATTGTCACATGTCAGGGACTCAGCCTGTGTTTCTCCGGAGTGTGCAAGAAAGGCAGGACTTTCCTTTCACTCTGAGTCTGCTTTCTGACCTCTTCTACCCAACATGGACACTCTGGGTTTTAAAAGCAGAGGGTGTAGACTTTCTCCTGGACCTCGCAGATGTGACAGCAGGCTGGAGACCTGCATTCCCCTCTGTCTGCGGGAGAACACACTACTCGCTAGTCCCTGGGAGTTGGGAACCGGCTGGGGTCAGTGCTTTGTCCTCTGCTTCAGTCTGCAGTCAACATAGTCTGGGAGGGACCACTGATATGAGACGATGGGATTGAAGACTCAAAACTATTCCTCAGTTGAGAAGAATATGAACTACAAAGTTCTGCACTTGAGTTTATAAAAATCAATGGCACCACCATGAGGTATGCACTAATTGCCACTAAAACAGGAAATGAAAAAGTATGTAGTGAGAAATAACATAGCCATGTTTATTCTCGGTGAACCGCCCTTCAGTCAGCTGATTGAACAAGGAATGGACGCCTGTCCCAACTTGGCCAATCAGCTTCTCTGAGACTTTGGAATTGGCTGCTGGAGCCAGAGTCAGGAAATTATGTCACTCTTGAGTTGCAAGGTCATTTCCTATTGTGTGCACAGAGAGAGGAAGCTGATCTCATGAGGACGAGTGAGGGAAAGTGGACCTGCAGAGAAGCAGAGGCAGGTCCAGCAGCCCTGGAGAGACAGGGAGAAGCTTCCCAGGGAACGACCCGTTTCTGGTTCCTTCCAATCCCATATGGCGAGCAGCTACACTTCCTGAATCTGGGGGTCCAGAAGCTCCTCAAGCATCCTCCAAATAACACCCCTTTTACTGCTCACACTGGGCTGATGAAATTTCATTCACCTGTAGCCAACTGACTCCTGACGAAGACAGTTCCAAAATGCATGTGTCATTACAATGAGATGCTCTGTTGGACAAAAGAATTTCCAGGCTGTCTCATGGTGACAACACAATTCCAGTCTCAGGGAGGAACCCGGCAGTCACTCATTCTACCAGCATTGATGGAGGGCTCAGCCTACACCTTTCCAGAAGGGCATGGGTATGGGATTTGGCTCTACGTTATGGACAATTTAAAATTTCCAAACAACTTTCCTTTTTAGCAAGATTGGCTTAACAAGCATTGAATCTCAAGGGCTCAGTTCTTAATGTGTCACTGAGCCAAGCAGTAAAATGCCTGGAAAGAAATTAAAGAGAGACAAAGTGTTCTGAACTTGGACAGGCTAGAATAGCACCCATCACCTCAGAACTCCCAGAGGCTCTGTGGGCTTGTTTCCCAGGAAAGCTCAGAATTGCCTGGCTCCCCTGGGGTGGGCGGCTGACGATGCTGCAGAAACAGGGCAGTGTTTTGAAGCTTGGTTTCTGGAGCCAAATCACCTGTGTTCTGCTCTACCCCTTACTGGCTACGTCACTTGAAGAAAGTTATTTAAACCTCACATTTTCTTTATCTGTAAAAGGGGGCTGGCATGAGGATTAAACAAACTAATGTGAGTACCATGCCTGGATGAAAGCCTGGCTTACTGCAACATGTCCCACATCCAGCCACCACAGTCCCTTCTTCCCACAATCCCTACTGTACTCAGACGACCCACTGTGAGCCACACAGATCAGACACACGCCATTCCCTCAAAGAGCTTCTCGGCCCTTCTCTTCCACTCTGCCGTCCTCCCCAATGCTCAGTCTCAGAGTTAAGTCTTGGCAGGAGTAGGCAGGGCTGCGGAGCCAGCAGAGGCAGCTCTGCCTGGAAAAAGGGAGCCAGTTGCTCACCACGGGAAGGCACAAAGTCTGAGGGACTTGCTCTAGTGTCCTAAGTGACATATCAGGGGTCTGAAAGAGGCCACAAACTCTCCACATTTCTAAGTGTAGATTTGGGCTCAATGCAGACCCCCCGGTACTGCCTATTTATTAGTTAATAATGGAGTAGATGCTGATGTGACTCGTTAAAAAATATATACAGTTGACCCTTGAACAACACGGGTTTGAACTGTGCAGGTCCACTTCGATGTGATTTTTTTCAATAAATATGTACAGTAATGTAAATGTATTTTTCTCTTCCTTATGATCTTAATAACAATTCCTTTTCTCTAGCTTACTTTGTTGTAAGAAAGTAGTATGTAATGCATATAACACACATACAAACACGTGTTGATCAATTGTTAATGTTATCAGTAAGGCATTCAATCAACAGTAGGCTATCAGTCATTAAATCTTAGGAGAGTCAAAAGTTTTATGTGGATTTTCAGCTGCACAAAGGGTTGGCGCCCTGACCCCTGTGTTGTTCAAGGGTCAACTGTACATGGGTTTTGCCTACAGACACACCAAGCGGGCAGGGATGGTGATGCTGATAAAGAGCAGCAGCTAACATCTGTTGGGTGCCTTATGGGCCAGGCACCATACAAAGTACTGCGCTTGTACGGTCTCACCTGATTCTGCTAGCATCCATGAGTTGCGTATTACTGGCATCATTTTACAGACAAGGAAACAGGCTCAGAGAGGTTTCGGGCTTGCCCGTGGTGTGGGTTGGTGATGAGGAACCAGGATATGTGCCCAGGCAGTCTGACTGCAGGGCTCCTTCCTGAGTAATGCCGTGTAGGGTTAAATTCAGAGGATCTAGGGCTGAGTACTATCTTGGTAGGTCTGAGTCCTTCCTGGACAATTAAAGGGTGGACAAGCCAATGTTGGAATAATGGCCACCACTTGTGGGGCACTTTTCATGTGCCAGGCTCTGGGTACTATTTCGAAGGCATCCTCTCATTCCTCACAACACTGAGAAGGAGGTGGCGGTGAAGGGGGTGTTCATTCTCATTTCATAGACGAAGATGCTGAGGCTCAGAAAGTGCCAGTGCCTGGCTCTATGAGTTCTAGGTCTGTAAGGAGCAGAGTTTGGATTCAAATGGTTTGACTCCCTGTTGCTAGGCTGCACTCCTCCCCAGTAGCCAAATCTGAGTGCAAATATTCAAAGCCCAGCCTTTGGTACCTCCTTTCAGATCTACAGCAAAGTTCACAAAGCAGGTGTGTCCTCCCAGCAGATGTGTATTTTCTTTTTTGACCTGCACAGTGGTTTAAAAATAATCTTGATAAGTCACCAGTGCTGGAAAATAGGAATATTCTACACTTCTGATTTCTCCTGATGAGAGGACAAGGGAGACCTGGCATATTGGCCTTCTATTCCTGGATGCCTAAAAAGAGCTTGAATGCAGTAGCAACTGCGCCCTTTAGATGGGCTTCTGCTCTCCAATTAGCCACAGTCCTCACCACTCCCTATAGCACTTCTGACACCCAGGTAAGCATCACTTGCTATTTATCATCACGGTTGTGTTATTTTTCTAAGCGTAAAGTTAGGAACAAAGTAAAGTATTAGAGACCAACGTCTCTATCAGAGGTAGAATAACAAAGTCTAGATTGGAAAAGCCATGTACTATAAGAAAAAAATGAGCAAAGAAAAAAATGAACATATCTTGGTGGCAATGATAAATATATCTATGAGTTTACCATACAAAGTGTGTCTTGACCATTTCACTCATCCACCTATGTAGCTCCTGAGACAGTAAATTTGTGACCGCTGGCTGAGAAGAAACCCCTTGCAGATGAGGAAACTGAGGACCAGGGAGCAAAATGGCTCACTGCCAATCAGTGGCCTCGCCCAGGGATGATGGAACCCAAGTCGGACCGCTTACCTCTGCCTGCGAGCTGACCATCGCCACGCCCACTGCTGAGGGCATCCTTCTTCGGGCCCCTCCTCCCACTAGCAGGGCGCTCCCTGTTGGAGGGCTGGGTAAAGATGTCGAAGTCATCATAGCAGACTTTGGGGGTCACCCTCTGGGCTCTCTCCCCTGAGATGACATTCCAGCTGCTCCCCCGCACCTGCTCACGCCTGGGGCCTTTATCCTTGGCCTCGATCTCTCCAGGACCTTCACTGATGATGTCACCAATGACGTCCTCTGACAGAAGCCTGTCTTTCCAGTCCAGTGGCTTCCCAGGACTCAGCCAGAGGGGTTTTGGCTTCCTGCCGCCCTGTTTCTTGCCTTTCCCTGTGGGAGAAGGCTGTAGCCAGGACGGGGTTTTCCCTGGAGGCTCAGAGACTTTTCTGCCTGTGAGGTTTTCCAGTTGTTGGTCAAGAGGACAATCCACAGGGGGGGTGAGGGGAGGACCACTGGGCACGCCTCCCATCGAGGCCGAGGGTGCTAAGGAGCTGAAGTCGTCCTCTAACTTGGACAAATTGTCTTTCACGCAGTCTGGAGAACTCGACCTTTCGCCAAACAAATTTCCTGGTGAGGAAACCTTCCCATCCACTACTGCTCCAGCTGTCTGTGAGCGACTGACACTGAGCTCTTTGTCCCCATCTGTGCCGGCTGCCGTGCAGGCATCTTTGCTTTCTTCTGAGTGGGCATGAACGGTGTTCTCCATTCTCTCATTCTCATTTTGCAGGCCAACCGGGATGCTCTGGTCAGCCGGGGCCTCCCCACTTCCTTTGTCCAACTGGCCATCAAAGATGAGGTTTTTGTTGACGTAAAGCTTCACATTTTTGGCACCAATATCAAGATCCTGAAAACACAAAATTTAACAAAATGACGACCTGAGGCATCAGAACGATGTATCAAATTTTGAAAGCAGAAGATAAAAAAGAGAAACGTGGAAAGCTGGAAACGTGAGCTTTATAAAACCACAGCACTGGGAATGTTAAAGCAGGCTCGGTCTCATTTCCGTGTCAAGTCTCACATGCTCTATAAATCAAAGGACTTTCACAAAGAGGCGGCCTCAATCGTCTTTGTCATCATTACTCCCTACTGGGACATTTGTGATCGCCCGCTAATTGGTCTCCCTGCTTCCTGTCTCTTGCTGCTTCAACCTCGACTTCACGTTGCCACCACAGTTAATTTTCTACCAGAGCGGATCTGGCCCAGTCACTCCACCTTGTGAAATCCTCAGGTTTTTTTTCACTGCCTATAGCAGCTTTCTTTAGAGTATGGTTCCTGGGCCCTCTGTGTCAGAAAAGCTTGATGTGCACATAAAATGCAAACTCCCTGGTTTAATGGGTATCATAGTTTGAGCGTCCTGAAAGCAGAGCCCGAGACAAGGATTTCAGTGCAGGTAGCTCATTTGGCAAGGTACTCCCAAGAGGGAGTGGGGAGCGTCAGAGAGAGCAGGAGAAAAACCCCACGAGTTTTTGAGTTGGCCACTGCTGCAGGTGACTGGGACTCCATCCCACTGGGGTCTCACATAATGTACCTCAGAATGTCCCTCCAAAGGGGAGAGGCTGGGGCGCTTATCCACTGACTCCCTTCCCTGCTGAAGGTTGTTCCTGAGGACACTGTGGCTTTGGGAAAAGCCCCCTTCCCCGCCCCTCCGAAGAAAGGCAGAGGGCCTGAAAGCACCAGAGGGGTACCCTGTCAGCTGTGGCTGCAATCAGAGAGGAGCCTAAGGGACGTGGTATGGGAGCTGCACTTGTAACAGGTTCTCCAGGTGATTCCTTTGCGAACCGAAGGTGGACCACCTCTGGCCGATGGGATGAATTCCGAGCCCCTCGGCATCATATGACCAAAGGGTCCCTGGCTGGCCTCATGTCTCTTTCTCCCCTGACACATGAACCCCGATTTCGTGCAGGTGTTCAACACATCTTCATTCATGATTAAAATGAAATCACACCTCCTCCTGCTACTGCCCTATCCGTCCGTTCCTCTTTACAAAAAAACATTTTTAAAAAACAGCTGTATCGAGGAACATAATACAGTAAACTACATTTTTCAAGTGTACAACTTGGTAAGTTTTAACACAAGCATACACCCATGAAATTATCTCCACAATCAAGATAATGAACACGTCCATCACCCCCAAAGTTTCCTTGTACCCGTGGGTAGTCCCTCCGTCCCCCTCCTTAACCATCCTCAGGTGACCACCCATCAGCTTTCTGTCACTGTAGATTAGTTTGCATTTCCTAGACCTTTACATGAAAGGATTCACATGCTACGTACTCTTCTTGTTCAAGCTCCTTTCATTCGGCGTGATTGCTTGGGGATTCAACCACGTTGTGCGAATTCATAGTTTTACTCCTCTTTCTTGCTGAGGGCTACACCTCATTGCCGGGGCGGCCAGCGTTTGCTCGTCTGTTTGCCTTTACGGCAGACTCCTCGCCGTCGCCGCTGCTCCTCCTCCCTTCTCTCTTGGCCCTGCTGCAGTCAGGCCTTTACCTCCACTTCTCCATGGAACCCACCTTGCCAAGGGCACCGATAACTGGGGTGGCGGGACCTCCTTGTTCGTCTGGGACAATCCTGATTTACTCCTGTCATCCTGCTGTAATCATTCTTAGAGTCCTCTTTTCATTCTCACAAGTGTCTTGCTTTGGACAGTCAACTTTAGGGCCGGGAGGTTGCCAGGTCCCCTGGGAGACCCCGGTCCTCGGTTGGGCTGCTGCCAGCAGTACTTGTGCAGTCAGCCGCCCCTCCCCAGCGGAGCTCGGCCCCCGCTTCCAGGCCCTCCATGCTCCTGGTTTTCCTCCCGCCTTGGCGGCCCCTGCACTGGCTCCTCTGCTGTTCCTCCCCTGAGCTGGGCCCCCAGGTTCCCTGCACTTCCTCACTAGGGGCCTCACCTGGGCCCAAGGCCCTAAATACCATCTTCGTGCTGATGGCTCCTGATTATTTTAATAGCCAATCTTGACCTCTCCACTAAGCCCCCTAGTGGCCACGTGACCTCTCTTCTTGGATATCTAACAGGTGTCTCAACCTTAAAAACCTGCCCCAAACAGAATTTTTCACTCACTTTTCCCAAAATTAGTCTTTTCTCATCTTAAAAACGGTCGCACCATTCAATCAGTTGCCAAAACCCCAGGAGTCCTCCCTGCCATCTGCTTTCTCACTCTTAGCCAGTCTGCCAGAGGTCCCATCGCTAAAACCCCTCCCAAATCTGACCTCGTCTCCCGGATTGAGCGCTGCCTCTTCGCCCAGGCCACCATCGCTTCTGAGACTCTCCCATAACCTCTGAATCGGTCTCTCTGCTTCCACTCTGCACTGCACCCCCCGCCCCAGACACAACACACTTCATTTTGTATACAGTATCCAGTCTTTTTTTTAAACGACGTATCAGATCATGGCAGCTCCCTGTTTAAAACCAGCCGTGATTTCATGCTACACTGAGCCTACGTGATCTGGTCCCTGCTGATGTCCCTGGCCTGGCCCCTACCGCACTCCCAACACGCTGGTCTGATGCCGTCCGTTCCCACCTCGAAGTGCTGGGCTGGGACGCTCTGCCCCAGCTGCCCTCAAGGCTGGCTCCTCCTTGTCTTCACAGAGGTCTCCCTGAGCCTCTCTCCACAGCAGCCCCTCCCCCATCCAGTCCCCTCTCTATCCCATCACCCTGTTTTGTTTTCTTCTCATCTCCGAAACGGTCTTCTCAGCTTTTTAACTTATGTATTATCCCCCCACACACACACAAAGTTAAGCTCTGAGAGAGCAGAGGCCCTTGTCCGATCCTGTCCAGGGTCTAGCACGCACCTGGCACCTGGTAGGCACTCACCAATCACTTTGGAACTATAAGTGAACAAACAGGTATTTCTCTGCCCGGGCAGCGCTGCTCTCTAACGACGTTCTGAGAGCAAACCTGGTCAGAAAAACGGCAGCCTGCTGGTGTCACCCCCAGATCGTTCTCCATCTTGCTCTTGGGAAATGGGATCAGAGACCCAAGAGGTGTCCATCTACACTTATTGCCCGCCTTAGCCCTCCTGAAAGCTAGGTGAGTGAGCTCTAACTAAATTTCTAGTTCGCGAAGTCATTGCCATGGAGGCTTCTGTGGCACTTTAGAATGAGACCCCTCAAGCCTGTGTTACACCACAGGAACCCGGCTTCAATCATCCAATTGCAGGATGGCAGACTACTATTTGCCAACTGTCAGAAAAGTCGATTCTCAAAGCACTCTTTTACATGTTTATATGGATGTGTTCTCTGTTTAGCAGAGGCACAGAGCAGGTGCGTGATGTGAATTAATCAGGAAATAGCTATTCGAGAAGGACAGCATGGGCAGCTTTCAATAACTAGTTCCGCAAAATTACTGCCATGGAAACATCTGGTGAGACAGAAACGCTCTCATTGAAAGAGGCTGTGGGATGGTGGGGAGGCCTTCCAGCCCGGCACCGTCGTGAGGTGGGCATCTTGGCTTTCATAATGGGACGTCTGGCTTCCAAAATGTGTTTGTCTACCTTTCATGAGCAGTCTGGAGCACCACCTGACCTCTAGCCATCTGCTGCCCGGCTCTCTCCAGGAAGTCTGGCTGAGAAGAGACAGGTGGAGGGAAGCAGGCTAGGGAAGGGGCGCACCCTCTGTGCCCAGGAGGCCAGGCAGGTAGGACGGAGGTGGGATAGGGTGGAAACGACAGGGAGTGGCAGGGACTGTGGGGAGCTGGGAGGCTCACGATCTGCTGGATAGTGCTCATCTCTGCAAAGTTGCCAGTGCCCTGCAGGCCAAACAAGCCTTCTCTGTGGGCGGACTTGGCCCGAGGATCACCGGTGGGATCCTGGGAGGGGAACGAGTAGCAGTCACTGCTCCGGGGACACCAAGTGTGAAAAATAAAAGGCCCACGCAGTCCTTGGAACGACTCTGTCTTATACATGGACTCGGCCTTCCCTGAGGTCATGGAACTGGTATGAGGTGAGCCACTCTGGCTAGCATGCCCAAGGTCCTACTGCCGCCTCCCTTCGGAGGCCTCAGTCTGGGCCAACGCTAGGCTGAGTTCCACCCGGTGGAACTCAGAGTCCCACTTTTAATAAGTCCCTGTGGACCAGCTCTCTCCTATCCTAACTCTGCCTCCCTCCTCAGCCCTCAGAGGCAATCACTGTGGGCACTGGGTGGGGGTGTATACGCTGCGTCCTTCTGGATTTTTTCCTACAGATATATGGGCGTGTTGACGTGACTGCCATCACAGCTCAAGGGTGCAGTTAGAAGCCCTGTGAGATGCACTGCACATTGTGGGAAAAACAGAGTGGAGGTCTTTGCAGGTCCATACCCCTTGGCGTCCCCACAGCAAAGCTTTGCATAAGGGATGTCTTTGAGAATAGAGTCAGGGGAAAAATTCCCTTGCTTCTGAAGAACGAGCCTGCTTCCTGCTTTGCAATGACTAGGACTTTAGTCCTGTTTCCTCCTTTGCTGGCTTCTGAGAAGTCTAGGGTGAAACTGTCTTTCTGATTCCTTCGACTTTAGAATTGTGTGTGTGTATGTGTGTGTGAGTCCTTGTTTCCTTGATGCTAATATTTTCTTCCTTGTTTTACAAGAATTATTCTTATGCCTTTGTTGACACTGCCTCAAAGTCCTTTTGCGGTGGATTTTCAAAAGGGCACTTTGAAACTCTCACTGGCAGGTGGCTAACGGGAACATCTTTCCTAGCCCACATCCCGACTGTGTCTTCCTTACAGTTGACGAGAACCAAGCATATTGAGACTGCAAGGCAATTTTAATATAACAATATTAAAATTATTTTGATTTAAGTAAGTTAATTGACTTGGCAGGGCCACTTTCCTCCCTGGCCCCAGCATCAAATGACATGCCACTTCCAGCGAGTAC